GATCCTCAGCACCACATAAAAAGAAATGAATAAAATAAAGGCATCTACAACTACAAAATTTTTTTTTTAATTAAAAAGAGAATATCTCCCTTTCCCATGCCCCTCCGTCGGACCCTCCGGGCCCTCTCCCCTTCCCCCAGCCTGGGACCCCCTCCGTCCCTGGCCCCTCACCCGGGAACCTCTCCACCGTGGGCGCAGCGCCTCGGCAGCCCTAGTCCGAGTCGTGGAGCGGCGGGCGAGATCTTGGCGGAGAGAATGGGGGAGGGGGCTCCCCCAAACTCAGAAACGGTGCGGCGTTTTGTTTGTTTGAGAGGACCGTGTCTCGCTGTGTTGCCTTGAATTCCTGAGTCCAGGCGTCCTTCTGAGCCCCCGGAATAGCTGGGACCACAGGTGCCGCCCCAACTCCGGGCCAGAAACCAGAGGTTTACCGGTTGTGCGTGCGACCGAGTAGCCGTGCGTACGCCGCGCCCCACCCTGGGTGCCGCAAGCCTGGGCGAAAACGCCTTCGGGTCGAAGCTAGCACGAGCCAAATGTGCCTCTTTCCGAATTTCTCACCCCCCCCACAACTGTTTTATTTAGCCGATGAGGTGTTTTCACTATTACTTTGTAAGAGCTCTGTATTAATGGATGAGACTGATTTGGGGGTAACAAAACATTTTATTTTTGGCATTTAATTTATGTAATAGAAAAGGAATGCAATAATTTTTTTATGCAAGCATATTAGAAAAATAAACCATTCTCTCCAGCACCCTGCCAGTATTCGCAGAGGTGGCAATGGAGAGTTTCGTGCGTACCTTTCCCAAATATGTGGGTGCAAGCTGCCAGCTTGCGGCTTGCGAGCCCTCACCCTTTTCTGTTGCTAACTAGAAGCGGAGCTCGGAAGCCCTACTGCGCTCTACTGCGCTCGCCTCCTGCGGGGTGCTTCCGGCTCTTGCTGTTGGGATCTGTTTTGGACATCCCTTGCGTCGGCATTACGCACTGGGGCTTTTCTGGGCGACCAGGGTAAGAGGAGTGAGACTCAAGCCCTGTTCCCTCCGATTATGAGGGCTTGTGCCTGCATTCTTGCTGTGGGGACTTTGACGGTTAGTGGTGAGGTTGAGGTTGAAATTGCTTCAATTGTTTTTTAGCCATTTGTATTTCCTTTGTGATTTGCTACTTCATATTGTCTTACAAGTTGAAAACGCACCCCGGGTGTCTTTTAACTACAATAAAGGTTTTTTGTTCTGGTTTTAGTGGTGGCGGGTTTGTTTTTGAGGTAGAAGATTTTAAGTTTGTAATGATCATATATCTTTAAGACTTTGGGGCTTTGTACCATGTTTTAAAGGCCTTTTCCTACTCCAAGATTATTTTTAAAATAATCTCTTTGTTTTTCCCCTGGTACTAGTAAAATGTGAAATATAGTCGTTTTGCGTTTGTTTGTTTTGTGTTTTGTTTTTTAATTTTAGGTGTCAGTCATCTTGGAATCTACCTTCATTTTCCCCCCCCCCCTTAAGTCAACCATTACTAACATTGTCCACTCTGTTCCATAATGTATCTTTCAATTGATTTGAAAACCACCTTTGTCCTGTACCAAATTCTTCCCTGTGTTTGGGCCATTTCTGGAGTTTCCGGTGACTTTGATGTGCATAGGTTTTGGTTTTGAAGCTGCAAATCTGTTGGTCTCTGCACCCCAATCTTTCTGCTTTGGTATTTTGCTTAAAAAGACCCTTCCCTCAGAAAATAATAAATATTTTTCTTTATTCTTATTCAAGTTCTTTTATGAAGTAGTTGTAAAATTTTAATTCTTACTCATTTGTTAGATTTTCAGTAGATTAGGTGATTTTTTTTTCCTGTTATTTTTAAAATTTCTTTGTCTTTACTTCGTGGTAGTTTGTTGAATATTTTGAAATTTTTTATTTTATTTTTTTCCCAAAATACTTAACCTGTCATCCTAGCACCTTTAGTGAATTGTCTTTCCTCCAGCAGTTTAAGTCTCTTCACCATGCTTACACCCGCTTTGCTCTGTTCCTAAGCTGCCGATTCTCACTGAGGCCCTTGTGGCTGTTTTCACTGTGGCCCTGTGACACGTCTGGCTCCTTCCTCAGTTGGTGAACCCTCTTCGACTACCTCCACCCCCATGAGAAGCATGTCAGCTTGTGAATCCAGTGCAGAGAGTAACATCACTGCAGTTTGTCCAGTCTTTATTTTTGAGACCTGTCATATGTACCTTTCAGATTGTGTTTTATTGTTTGTGAGGTTTTATAGTTTTCTTCATACAGATCCTGCACTTTGGGGGCTTTGGTGGTACTAGGGATTGAAACCAGGGACACCCTATCACTGAACCATATCCCCAGCCCTGTTTATTTTTTAGTTTGAGACAGGATCTCACAGTCTCACTAAGTTGCTGAGGCTCGCTTTGAACTTGCCATCCTCCTGCCTCACCCTTCCAAGACACTAGGATTAGAGACATACCCCATTTTGCCAGGCCTGAATCTACACATTTCTAAAATGTAAGCTTGTTTCTTGTTGATATTTGAGAATTGAATCTGGTTTTTTCCTTTTTTTTTTTTTTTTTTTTAAACAAGGTGTTATTGGTATACAGGAAAGCTACCAGTTTGGATTCATCACTCTGATCATATAATCTGGGAAGGTTGCAGGGATTGTGCTTAGCAGTGTTTTACTTTGCACTCACAAGTGACTTAGAAGCTGCCTCATCAGAAGGTGCCTTCACCTTGGAGGGCCAGGGCATGGAGATAAAGAGAACTGTTGCAAGAAGCCCAGGGAGTGAGGAAAGGAGGGTGGTAGCTCTAGGGGAGATCCTGACAGCTTACTCCAGACTAGGAGACTGGTAATGTGTCTGTCCCAGCCTGCAACTGTGAACAGGGTCCTCTGGAAGGACAGGTACATGCTCACTCTGTCACATCAAGACCATCAGGAATTCCAAAAAGAATCACTGATTTCTAGGCTTAGTTTACAAAACAGATGTATATGTGTCTATGATGACACGTGGATGATGTGATGACCTCACATTCTGTGCTCTTCGTGCTATGGCGGTCCTACCTTAGTTCTTGTGCTTGCAATCCTGCCTGGCTATGATCCCAGGGGCCAGCAGATCCCTTCCGGGCAGAGTCTCATTGCAGTATGGCTCCTTCCATTTCTCCTTATGTCATCATTGCTGCTGGGAGGTTTTGTTTTGGGTTATTGCCCATGAACATTTCCAAAAGCAGGATTCCTGAATCTGCAGAATGAACCCTTTTTGTTGCCATTCTCCTTTTGGCAAGTGAGTGTGTAGGAACTTTGCTTAGCTGTGACCCCATGTGGGTGCCAACAGCACTGTGCATGGGTGCTGTTTGTATTTGCCCCATATTTAGGTAGTAACAAAGCACAATTGTAGCCTCCTCAGACTCCATTTCTGATATTCTGTGGCAGTGACTTCCATTTTGTCCCGGCATCTTTACAGGACTTTTTAAGATCCAGCACTTTAATATTTAAAAATATATATACACACCATGCTTCTTTTCTGTCTGAACTCCTATGTTGTTCTCAAATAGCAAGCCTGGAATTGGGCCTGGGGATCCTTGGGGGAAACCATGCAGTGGAACAACCTTTGATTCCCCGCGACTTGGGAGACTGAGGCAGGAGGATCACAAGGTCAAAGTCAGCCTCAACAACTTAATGAGCCCTGTGTCAAAATTTTTAAAAGACTGGGGATGTGGCTCCATGGTAGAATCCTCTGGGTTCAATCCTAAGTATTAAAAAAAAAAAAAGAAAAGAAAAAGAAAAAGTTTTCGGTGACCCCAGTAGTTCCACTTCCCTGCCTCATACTTGAGCTTTAGGTTGAGGCATAGTATTCACCCATCCTGGCGTCCTATCACAGGCATATTACAGGAAACCCAGACTTTTATCTGCCAGTGCAGAAATAAATAAAAATGGAAAATTAGGTAGTGCCAATTTTTAAATTCATTGTATTCAATTTTATGAGAATACAGCCATATGTGATATGCTTTCTTTGTGTTATTCTTTTTTTTTTAACTTGGCAGTATGTGTAGTTCATCCATACCACAGTATATGATACTACCCTCTGATCTAAGGCTCGCTCAGCTAGCCATCTTTTCCCTCCCTCCTGGTCACACACATATTGGCAACCTGGTATGTCTTTCAGTTCTCCTTCTGTTAATCTCTTTGAATCAGATAATATCATCTCGTCCAGCAGCATCTAAGTCACTCCTGTTGTGAGCACTCTCTGCTCACCTAATATCTGTAAGGCCCTGAGGGTGTCATCTCCCAGCTTTGCAAGGGGGAGCTGCAGTGCCACAGACCCAGAGTATGGCAAGCAGGCTGGCCCCAGGTCCTGTGACACACACACACCCTTCTTGGACTTGGGTCATGGTATACAAAATAAGAGCATCATCCACGTGTCATCCCACCCCATATTTTGACTCTCAGGTAGCCCTCACAGTATAAATCATCTGGCAGGTGCCAACCGTGGTGACATTTGCTGCAACACCATTGTTGTATCTGCTGTTGCTTATGTCTATCCCCCTAGGGTACCTGCTCTCTCAGGGCCTGTCTGATTGGCTTAGAGATGTAGGTGGCCTTCCTGAGAAAGAATATGAGAAATTCTGCATCACCATCTCTGCCAGCAGAGGACGTACGCTCCTTACCTGTTGCTGTGCCAAAAGTTTAAAAGTGTAATCTCTTTGCTCCTGTAATTTCATTAATTAATTTCTTTTTTTTTAAAGAGTGAGAGAGAAGGAGAGAGAGAGAAAGAATTTTAATATTTATTTTTTAGTATTTGGCGGACACAACATCTTTGTCTGTATGTGGTGCTGAGGATCGAACCCGGGCCGCACGCATGCCAGGCGAGCGCGCTACCGCTTGAGCCACATCTCCAGCCCTCATTAATTTCTTTAGCAAATGTTCCACCATGGACTACTCTGCTGGGCCTCCCTCTGGTTTGTTGGTACAACAGGAAGGGGTGGTGTGAAAGCTGAGTGGGATGTTGGCCTCCAGGAGGTGAAGAGGCTGCAGCTCCCTGAAGAAGGTTGTAAAATTCAGAATAGCTTCCTGGGAGCTGAACTGGGGACTGGAAGGATTCTGAGCAGAAGACAATCATAGTATTTCCCTGAGAAGGCAGATGGAGTAGCTAGGCAGATATGGTGTTGGGAGCCATAAGACTGATAAGGGGTGGTCACAGGGCAGTGTGGTCAGGTTGAGTGAGGATGGTAGACTAGGAGTTGGTGTGAGAGAATGAAGAGGGGAGGAGGCTGTATAGGTTTATAGACCACGCTGGGATAGAAGGGGGTGGGTGCTGCACTCTGGATCTGTGGCACTGGATCTGTACCCACTTAGTATTGGATGTTAAATGTCTGATACTACGAGATGTCCATGTGAAGATGTTGAATTGGAGGGAATGGTGATAGCCAGCTCAGAGGCACCAGAGGCTGGATCTCCTGGGCTTAACATCATGGCTCGTGGGATAACCATGCTTGGCACCAGATTTACAGGGAAACTGGTATCATCCACCAGCACAGGACGCAAGCAGGAATAGGAACTGGCCTGCCCCAAAGCCTTGTCATTGTCACATAAGCAGCATCTCCTGTGTCAGGCTTTCAGACCTGGAGACCTGCTGGGAGCCCCCAGATGTGGTTCCTCTGGTTGTTCGTCATTGGTCCTTCACCCAGGTGAAGTCAGGGCTGTAGTGTGACTTGGCAAGCTGACTTCTGCCAGGTTTCCAGGGAACCAAATCTGAGCATTTGCTGAAGGCCAAATTCTCATGCATACCTAGTGAACGAGGAAGGGGGTGATCGAAGGATGCATTTGAGAAGGCCCCATTGAGAGAGTGGTACCCAAGAGACCAGTTGTGTCCCTGCTACCAACAGTAAACAAGGACTTGGCCACATAGAGATCAAAGGAGACACTGACCAGGGCTGTTTGGGATGGCAGAAGCTAAGACTGTAAAGACTGCTCCTCTGAAGAGATGAAGGAAATGGAGACCACTTGGGGAGGATCTACTCCCATGGGAGGTAGCTGGATAAGGGTGTGGTCCCTGGGAGGGTAGTTAAATGACAAGAGATGCAGATCTCTCCTGGTGCATGATGTCATGGAAACAACAGGTATGGCGGGAGACAAGGTGTGCGACTCTACTAAAGGACAGGCAGGTGTCAGGAAAGTGAGCCAGAAGGGAGAAAGCAGAGCAATGAGGCAGGTTTATGTTCACACACCATCTTTACCTAATCCAGAGTTGGTTAGTGCATATCCCATCTGGAGATACATAAGTTACTAAATTAACCATGGGTTCCCACTGAACTGAAATTTACTGCTTATCTGTTTTTTGTTTGTTGGTTTATTTGGTACCAGGGATTGAATGAACCCAGGGGTGCTTAACTACAGAGCTACACCCCCACCCCTTTTATGTTTTATTTTGAGACAAGGCCTCACTGAGTTGTTGAGGCTGACTTTGAACTTGTTATCCTCCTGCTTCGGCCTCCAGAGCTTCTGAGATTATAGAATGCACCACCACACCCATGCTTGTAGTCTTTTAAATCCATGCTTCTACCTGTGTTTGGCTCCATCTGTCCCTTATAGGCTACTCTCTGGTTTGATTGCAGCAGCTTCATCACTGGCTGATATCTGGTTCGTTGGGTACCCACTACATACATACTTCCCCACTCCTTTGAATTCCATTCTTGCCTATTTTCCAATAAATGTTCATGTGAATTGTAAGGCAGTTTTATGCAGAGACTCCTTTGGGAATTCTAAGTAGGATTGCATTGCACTTTCATCCACAGAAACATGAGCTTTTGGAGAACTTCAGAATAGGGAGATTGGGAATCAGCCTGTGTCTCCACCTGTTTCCTTGACCTGTGCCTCAGAGGCAGTAGTTGTTAGTTTATTGTGTATCTTCCTGATAATTGTGTATGCAGAGATGTTCTATTGGACATTTTATAAAGAAAACAGGGAATGATCACCCTTGACCTCCTACCCCAGGTGTCTTAAAGAGTCCTATTTGTCATGGTGCCCAGCTAAGCCAGTTGCAGATGCTTAAAAGGATTGACTGGGTTTTTTTTTTTTTGTTGGTTTTGTTTTTTGGTACTGAGGATTGAACTCAGAGACTCAATCTCCACTGAGCTACCTCCCAGCCCTTTCTGTTTTATTTAGAGACAGGGTCTTGCTAAGTTGATGAGGTTGGCCTCAAACATGTAGTCTTCCTACTTTAGCTTCTGAGTGGCTGGGGCCACAAGTGTGGGACACTGTTAATTGTGCTCTTATATCACTTTTTAAAAAATATTTTCAGTTGTAGACGGACATGATATCTTTATTTATTTATTTATTTATTTTGGTGCTGAGAATTGAACCTAGTGCCTCAAATGTACTAGGCAAGTGCTCTACCATTGAGCCAAAATCCAGCCCCTGTACCATGTTTTCAGTGTGTGCTTTGCCTTTGTCACAGGCTAGGCTCTGAGTCACTGTCACAGACCTCCCTCAATGCTCCAGAAGATGACCCATCCTCTTTTGGACCAGCTGTGTCAAAGAGGTCTCTTGTCAGGAGACCTCTCAGTCCTCGCTTTCCCTAGCCTACTGGGTTATGTTGGACACCTCTGTTTATTCTGTCCTCTTGCATCCCCAGCACCTACCCAGCCTCAGTCCTCTTCTCATTGATGATGAAGGCTCCCCTAGTCTCAGACCAGATCCTTGGGGTTACTCTGGACTCAGTTCGCTCCGAACCACCACTGCTCATGTTTCTGCTTCCAACACCCTGGCCAAGCCATAGGGTTGAGAGCCCCCACCTTATTGGAGCACCAGGATCACCAAAGGATGTCTAGGAGTGTCCATGGATCTGTGGGTTGGGGTCTCCACAGGAGTGTGGGCCTTGAGCAAGACCACCTAGTCCCACACTGGTGGCCATCCCCCTCCTTGTTGGGAGGGTGCTTGGGGAGGCAGCCTAGACTAATGCTTGTAAACCCACATAACGCATGTACCTTGGGTGTAGAACATGCAGGAGCCCTGGTGAGCTGGCATCCTCTGGCTCAGCAGCATAGTCCAGAGTCCATATGTGGTCATGGTCCAGAGTCCTCACTGGCTCCCTTGCACAGGTTTGACCATGAGGACTCCCAGGGGCCTAGGTAATGAAGGTTTGGGACCCTGAGCCCTTAGAGGGCATCAGGTACCCTTTATCTGGAGCTCAGAGACCCTTGGCACTTCCTAACTGGGATTTTCTGGGCCCATAGCTAGAGAGCCCTGCTCTGGCTAGGAAGGCCCAGGAACCATGTGTTTGTTCAGGGCTTGGACAGGTTCCTGCACTGTAGGATCAGAGTTCTGGCACGGAAGTGTGTGGAATAGCAGGCCTGTGGTGGGTGCTGCTCCTTGGGTCTCACCTCAGCATGTTCTTCTCTGGCTCTGCATGAGGACCAAGGACCCCTGGAGCTCCCTGCAGGAAGTCAGGATCTGTCAGAGGCAAGGCCTGGCCCCTCACATGTTCCCTCCCCTTCCACAGCCCCACAGGAACCTCCAATTTCTGTCATCCTCAGAGGCCCAAGAAACAAAGTAATGGCAACTGCCAGACTCCTGCCACTGCCAGCAGAACACCAGGTAAATTGTCCCTAAGGCCTGTGTAGTATCCCTGGCCACAGCCCCTATGGTTTCTTCCATGCCCAGGGACCCTGTGGCAGCCTGAGTATCACTGCATCCCCGGAACTTATGGCTTCTTCTTATGAACCCCACTCTTGGCTCATAGGGTCCCACACTCAGCTGCCTAGGCATGTACCCACAACCCCATCCTAGACATCGAGATTTGGTCTTACTCCAAGAATTCCTGTTGTTCCAGGCTAAGGTGACCTTCGAGGATGTAGCTGTGCTGCTCTCTCAGGAGGAATGGGATCGCCTGGGCCCTGCGCAGCGGGGCCTCTACCGAAACGTAATGATGGAGACCTACGGAAACGTGGTCTCACTGGGTAAGTCCACCCACATGCTTAATTGTGTGTTTCTGTGTGAGATCGGTGGGGGCTCAGAGCAAGCTGGTCCTGGAGGCTCACCTACCTCCAGTGTGCTCTGCTGCAGCAGGAGGTCAGTCCTGTCTGTCTTCATGTCCCCAAAGATGGCATAGGTTGGGTGGGAGTGTATTTGGGTAGATGTTGTATAAACAAAAGGCTTCCTTCCCCTCGAGCAGGACTTCCAGGATCCAAGCCCAATGTCATCTCCCAGCTGGAACGAGGGGAAGACCCATGGGTCCTGGATGGACAGGGGGCTGAGAGCCAGGGCTTGGGGAATGGCCACTCAGGTAAGTGAGGGGAGCTAGCCCTTCTTTCATTGAAGGCTGGGCCTAGGGGTATAATGGCCTGTCAGGCCTCACAAGTAGGAATTACTAGACTGGGTAGCAGTCCATGGCAGGAAGTAGGTGTAGTTGTGAATCTAAACCTGGTGGTCTAGAGCTAGGTATAGCAGGGCTAAACCAGGTAGAGACAAAATCAGGCCATGGATGAATTTTTGTCCCTGCTCAGAGAGAAAAACTTGTTAGCCAAGGCTAGTTGTAATACGGCTTTCAGGTTTTGAAGATTGCCTGATTGTTGTAGAAGTCTCTCCATCCTGACACTCATAGTGAAGGACTGAAGCTTGCTGTTAGAGCTCAGGTGCCAGGTGAAAAAGCTCATTCCTACATTCTATGTGTAATAAGGTGGAATAAAAAAAACAACAAAACTGTTATAATTAAAAAAGAGAAAGAAAAGTGTCATTTGAAGTTTATGCAATTTCCAAATTAGAAAAATTAGATAAGAGTTTACAAGAGAAACATAGTAGTATTGCTGGATACAAAATCATTTGTATTTCTATTCATCAGCAACAAACAAAATCATACTTTTTTTTTTTTTTTAAAGAGAGAGTGAGAGAGGAGAAAGAGACAGACTGAGAATTTTTTTTTAATATTTATTTTTTGGTTCTCGGCGGACACAACATCTTTGTTGGTATGTGGTGCTGAGGATCGAACCCGGGCCACACGCATGCCAGGCGAGCGCACTACCTCTTGAGCCACATCCCCAGCCCCAAAATCATACTTTTTATAAATAAAAAATATTTTTTAGTTGTCAATGGACCTTTATTTTATTTATTTATATGCAGTGCTGAGAATCGAACCTAATGCCTCACACAAACTAGGTAAGCACTCTACCACTAAGCCACAACCCCAGCCCCAAAAACATAATTTTTAAAACAAAAATATTTATAATAGTATCAGAAATGTGAAATATCCTGGAAATAATCTAACAAAAGATATGCCAGACCTTTAAGGGGAAAATTGTAAAAGCAAAGATGGAGCCCAGTTTGGTGGCCCAGGCCTGTGATCCCAGCAACTCAGGAGGCTAAGGCAGGAGGATCACAAGTTGGAGGCCATTCTAAACAACTTAGCAAGACACTGTTTCTAAATAAAAAAGGGATTTGGATACATCTTAGAGCACCCCTGGGTTCTATCTCCAGCACTGGAATGAATGAATGAATGAATGAAAGATACAGATGGAGACAGGTCTAGACTTAAAACTGTGCAAGATGACATCTGAGTCTTGTGAAAACCTCAGTCATTATGTCCTGCTAGTATGTGCCCCTCTTGAGATGGGAAGGTTGGCACATAGTTGATCAACTTCAACATTTTAGATGTGACCATTTTCCCCTTGAAAATTTGCTCCCTGCTTTTTTAAAGCTAGTGGACAGGACCCCAGTATTCCACACAATCTTATGAACCTGCAAAATCAAACATCCTCAGGGAGCAATGGGTATGACAGCTTCAGAGGAATTTAATTTACCAGTGACTGTGAACAAGAGGACACAATATTATGTCACAGAAATCTTGCACGAAACTTGTTTTCTTGAGACAGGCTTTCCCTATGTTGTCCAGGCCGGTCTCGAACTCTAGGCTCAAGCAATCCTTCTGCTTTGGCTTCTAAGTAGCTAGAACTACAGGCTTGTGCCACCATGCCCAACAGTGCACAGAACTTCACATTGTTTGGTAACTGCTCCCACAGAAGGCAAGAAAACACAAGTTATTTTGCAGCCACTGCCAAAACAAACTGTTGTCCGTGGAGGTGCCTGTGCTCCTGCCTGATGGAGACCTTTGACCCTTTTTAAGCAGTCTTTGAGTTTAATGGCTGAAAAAAACTTAAGATTGTCCAAGAGCACAGAAGCACCTGGTTACTCTGCCTCTGGCCCAGGCCAGAGAGGAGGATGAGACTGAGTCACTTCTAGAGAGCAATAGGCATAGAAGCAGAAGCTACGTGCCCCTGCTGGTTTTCACTTACTGTTTTAACAGAACAGCAGTGGGAATATTTTTCATTTTTGAAGAATGTTTTGTTGTTAGCTCATCTCCCTGTTCCTTTTACAGACAACCTCAAATGTGATCGCACTGCAGTCTGTGTGCAGGACAGCTTATCTTGTCCGTGGGGTAAGTGCATGTGTGATCTTTTTAATACAGAACAATTCCTGAGGTATTAATGTTTGTGTGTTACCAGAATATGACAGGATTCCCCAGGGTGCTGTGGAGTTTGTTAAGACAACTCACACAAGGAAGGGTTTCTCCTAATCAAGCATTATTTGTTTCAGTAGAATCTCTTTTTTCCCCTTTATGTATTTTGTCACACTGAAAACATAGTTTCCTGCTCTATACTTAAAACCACAACTAGAGCCACCATTCTGAAAGGGAGTATGGTTGGCTCTGTGCAAGATACAGGGCAGGGGCCCTATCACCAGCCTTCACACCGTGACTCTACCCCACAGAAGTCACATGATACTTTTAAGCCATGGCTGATTGAGACTCCCCTCCAGTTATTGTATCATGAAAGTCATCTCATTTACCTTGTTACTCTGGCATCAGAGTCCACCAGAGGTGCTCTGGCAACAGAAGCCACCCATTCAGGAAAACAAATAATAGAGCAGTGGTACTTTTTTTTTTTTTTTTTTGGTAAAATTTTTATTAGTTATTGACAGACCTTTTATTCATTTATTTGTTTATATGTGGTGCTGAGAATCGAACCCAGTGCCTCATACATGCTAGGCAAGCACCAGTACCACTGAGTCACATCCCCAGCCTCCCCCACCCCCAGCAGTAATACTTTAATGCAAATAACTGATTCTTTCTTTGGCCTACAGACTTGTATTTTATAAAGATGGGCCTTGGGGGTGGAGGGGATAAAACTAGTCTTATCAGTTTAAAGAACATATAGCATAACTTTTTTTTGTTTTAAAATATATTTTTTTTAGTTGTAGATGGACACAATATCTTTATTTTTTTTTTATTTTTTATTTTTTTATGTGGTGCTGAGTATCGAACCCAGGACCTCACGCTGCGAGGCAAGCACTCTACCAGTGAGCTACAACCCCAGCCCTAGCTTAACTTTTTATTTTTTTTTTTTAGTTGTAGTTGAACACAATACCTTTATTTTATTTATTTTTATGTGGTGCTAAGGCTCAAACCCAGGATTTCACACGTGCTAGGTGAGTGCTGTACTGCTGAGCCACGACCCCAGCCCCCCCAGCATACCTTATTAAAAAATAAAATTCGTTAAAAATCTTATTTACCCAACAGCTTAGGAGGCTAAAGCAGGAAGATCACAAGTTCAAAGCCAGCCTCAGTAACTTAGCAAGGCCCTGTCTCAAAATAAAAAGGGCTGGGGATTTTGCTGAGTGGGATTTTGCTGGGTTCAATTGCTGGCACACACACAAAAAAAAATCTTAAATAGATGACTGTAAATTTAGATTTTTTTTTTTAAATGAAGATCCTATTAAATCCTCAGTTTTAGTTTATAAATGCGGTATACACTTAAACAAATTGCTCTGAAGGAAACTTAAAAAAGATATAGAAATACTCAATAAGAAAAGTGGAAACAACACTTGAACAAGTTCCTGTTTGTTTTTAGAATAAGGAAAAATGTTTTATTGCTTTGCTAGCAAAGGAGAAACACAGGGACTCCTGTCCCAGAGGCTATGATTCTTTTTTTTTTTTTTTGGTACGGGGATTGAATCCAGGGGTGCTTAACTACTGAGCCACATTCTCAACCTTTTTTTTTTTTTTAATATTTATTTTTTAGTCTCGGCAGACACAACATCTTTGTTGGTATGTGGTGCTGAGGAGCGCGCTACCACTTGAGCCACATCCCCAGCCCTCTCAACCCTTTTTAACTTTTTTTTAGTACAGAGGATTGAACTCAGGGCACTGAACCACTAACCCACATCCTCAGCCCTATTTTGTATTTTATTTAGAGACAGGGTCTCATTGAGTTGCTTAGTGCCTCACCTTTGTTGAAGCTGGCTGTGCCACCAAGCCCAGCTAACTTTTTTTTGAGACAGGGTCTCAGTAAGTTGCTTAGGGCCTTGCTAGGTTGCTGAGGCTGGCCTTGAACTTAAGATCCTCCTGCCTCAAGTCTCCTGGGCTGCTGGGATTATAGATGTGCACCACTGCCCCCACTAGTTTGGCACTATCTAATGGAATTGAAATATGAATCCTTATGTTCCCCACACCCAACCCTGATACATAATAAGTACTAAGAAACAAACAAGAATCTTTGTAGAAGCATGCTTCATGATGGAAGACTGAAAATCACTCAGGTGTCCATCAAAAAATAGAATAGAAAAATTAGACATTTAAATATAATGAAATATACCACAGTGAAAATGATTAAATAACTGAATAAAAGTGAAAGCACAACATCAAAATTTGTGATATTCTGCTAATACAGTACTTAGCTCTTTTATGATCTATGTTAGAAGAGTTAAAAGTTGCTAAGTCTAAAACGGAACAATTAAGTTATTTTTGAGGCAGCTGCTTGTTCAGGCTGGACTTGAACTCAGAATTCTTCAGCCTTTGCCTCCTCAGTAGCTGGGATGACAGATGTGATGTTTTTTCTTTTGGGACAGGCTTTTGCCATGTTAGACTAGGCTAGTCTCAATCACCTAGGTTTGAGTGATCCTGCCACCTTAGCTCTTGAATAGCTGGAACTACAAGGGCATGCCATTGGGCCCAGCTCATAATGGAATCATTTGAATAATAAAATAAATAACAGGTTAGCCAGGCACAGAGGCACAAAACCTATAATCCCAGCAATTTGAGAAGCTGAGGTGGACACAACATCTTTGTTGGTATGTGGTGCTGAGGATCGAACCCAGGCCGCACGCATGCCAGGCGAGCGCGCTACCGCTTGAGCCACATCCCCAGCCCCCCCAAAATTAATTTTTTGATTCATAACTTTGCACCATAAGAATCAACCCAGAATGGTCATAGAGCTAAATATAAAATCTAAAACTCTGAAATTTTAAGAAACCATAGAATAAAATTATTTTAACTTTTGGTTAGGCAAAGATTTAATAAGAAAGACACCAAAAGCATAATCTATTTTAAAAATTGATATTATTGAGTTTTTCCAAACTAAGATTTTTTTTGAGGCTAGGGCAGGAAGATCACATTCAAGGCTGGCCTCAGCAACTTGGTGAAGGCCTAAGCAACTTAGCAAGACTCTATCTCAAAATAAATAATTTAAAAAGTCTGGGGATGTGGCTCAGTGGTAAAGTGCCCCTATTATCAAAAAAAAAAAAAAAAAAAACCACTGTTATTAGAATGTCTTCACTTTTAAAAACACTGTTAATTCTATGAAAAGACATTCCAGAAGATAATATTATAAAAGCAAGATATTAATATTGGGATAGCAGTTGCCTTTGAGAGTCAGGAAATAGGGTTCATGGTACAGAGGGACACAGAGAGATGTTCAAAGAAGTGCCAACATTCTCTTTCTAAAGTAGGTTGTGGGTCTGTGGGGGTGTTGTGTTCATTCTGTTATTGACCTGTTGTTGTTGTTGTTGTTGTTGTTGTTGTTGAAATGGGTCTGGTTTCAAACTCATGAGCCCAAGTGATCCTTTCACTTCATCCTCCTGAGTCACCAAGATAATGGGCAGGTGCCACCACACCCAGCCTGTCATTATTCTTTGTATTTTTTTAAAAACTGCTTTATAGGCCAGGGATATAGTTCAGAGGTAGAGCACTTATCTAGTGAGGTCCTACATTTGAAAAAAATATATTAAGATTTAATTCATTTGCCATACAATTCACCCGAAGTATATAATTAAATGGCTTCTGGTTATGTTCCAAAATTATCACAATCTAGTTTGGAAAACTTTATCACCCCCAGGAGAAGCCTTAGACCCTGTGCCTGTTCCTCTTACTCTTCTTGTCTGCATTTACCTGTTCCAGACATTTCACATAAGTAAAACAATGTGTTTTTCGTGTCTGTCTTTTATTTGGCAACCTGTTTTCAGGGTTCTTTTGTGTAGTGTCTCTGATGCTTCATTGTGTGGCTCCACATTTTATCTATCTATCCATCAGTTGATGAATACTGGATCTTTTCCAAACGCCTTATATATTTTACATGTATTGTGAAAGCTGTTTTATGTGTCTATTTGCTTAAAAGTGAAAATGCCATTAAATGGTACTAGCAAAACGTCCTGGGCTTACAGAGAAGATGTCTCTCAGGTTTGGGGGAAGAAGACAGGGAGAGCAGCATGGAGATAGGGTATTTGCAGGATGTCTTGAGGGCCTGTGCATTCTCAAGTGGAACAGGGGGACATGGCAGTTGGGACAGCCAGATAGGCAAAAAGCACAAACCATGTGAGTTGAAGGGTACCAGGGTAGATGTGCCGGCCCAGACCCAGAGGTGGAGGCAGGTGGTGGAAAGGGAGATCGAAGGTAGACCAGGAGTGGAAACTGGAAAAACAAATGTGAGTTGGTTGTGCCACAACTCTGCCCTAGTCACAGAGGCAGTCTCCACAGATTCTGTACCAGGCCCTAGAAGGAGTATTTTTTTTTTTTTTAGTTGTAGATGGACAAAATACCTTTATTTCATTTATTTTTATGTACTGCTGAGGATCAAACCCAGTGCCTTACACATGCTAGACAAGCACTCTACTACTGAGTCACAACCCCAGCCCTAGAAGGAGTACTTTTTAATCTTAAAAGCCATTGCTATGTAGTTTTCATATCATGTTTTACCTTTCAAGTTCCAGGAGGACATGAAAGTGTACCAGCCTAGAGGTGCATTAGAGGCAGAAAGGTAGCACGAGTCCAAATGCCTGCTCCAGCCTCAGCTAAGTTCCACCTCTAAATAGGATACTTCCAGGAATGTGACCACATTGACAGCAACAGGCAATACAGCATTTGAGGTAGTGCGGGCTAAGGATCCTTCTCAAGGGAGGTACTGCTGGGTTATCACAGCGTCTGGGGGACTTTTCTTTTAGCTATGGATTCCATGAGCTTGTCCCTGGGCTTGCTACCTGGTGGCTTCTGCTGTCGGTCTTTAACACCTGCCATCTAGAAGCCTTTATTCCAGCCATAGTCAGCCTGTAAGGATTAAATTCAGTTCTCATGAGAATTCCTCGTTGTGATTCTGGTACACCATTAGACCATTTACCTTGAATGTAATTGTTGATACCCCTGGGTTAAAATCTGCCGTTTGGACTGTTTTCTGAAGGTTCCATCTACTCTTTGATTTTCATCCTACTTTTCTGCCTGCTTTTATATTTTGAAGAATTTTATGATTATTGAAAACTTTATATTTGCTATTTGCTTATCATTTAACCTCTTTTAAAAAAAATAATGCTTAGTGGCTGCTCTGCAGTTTACAATAGAGTGGGTCCTCGGCTTCCATGGGTTCTGCAACCACAGATTTAACCAACTGCATACTGAAAATATTTGAGAAAAAAAAAATAGCTTCTCTGTTGTACATGTACTTTGATGCTTGTTGTTAAATCCCTAGGCAACACAGTGTAAGAACGGTTTATATAGCACATTGTAGAAGGTATTATAAGCCATCCAGGGATGATTTAAAGTGTACAGGAGGGTGTACATAGACTACATGCAAATCCTAATTTTATAGAAGGGACTTAAACATTTCTGATGTTGGTGTGGGGGCAATACGCAGATGCCAAGGGACAAAAATATCTCCAACCATTGTCTAACCTCAAACAATGTTTACCACTTCACATATAATGTAAGAATCTTGCAACAGTGTACTTCTGCCTGATTAGTCCATGTGGGCCATTTTACAAACAGGGTAGCTTAAACATCAGCAATTCCTTACAGTTCAGAGGCTGAGAAGTCCAGGATTAAAGTGCCAGCCAGTTCAACCACCTTCTTGCAGTGTGCAGAAAGCACAAGCTCTGGTGTCATAAAAGCGCCAATCTCCTAGCAAGAGCCCCCCCATCCTCCTGCCTGGATCCAGCAGGGGATCACCTCTCAGTATTATCACATGGGTTAGGACATCAGCATCTAGATTTGGGGAACACAAATAGACCATAAGAGCTTCTATATTCCTTCCTTCTAATAGAAATCTGTGACATTAGCATGTTTTTCTCTTGAGTGTTTCTGAGTCTTTAAGAATGAGGTAGAAAAAAAATTTAAAAAAAAAAAAAGAATGAGGTAGAACTGTTTTCGGTCTTTTATATTTGCCTGAATTTAAAATGGTTATCATTTTAACTATTCCCAGAGCTCTTCATTTCTTTTTTGTAAGTCCAAGCTTTTATAGGGCATATATCATCATCTTTTTTTTTTTTTAAGAGAGAGAGAGAAAGAGAATTTTTTTAATATTTATTTTTCAGTTTTTGGTGGACACAACATCTTTATTTTATTTTTATGTGATGCTGAGGATCAAACCCAGCGCCGCGCACATGCCAGGTGAGCGCGTTACCACTTGAGCCACATCCCCAGCCCAGGGCATATATCTTCTACCTGAATAACTTTTTTATGATATTGGGGATTGAACCCTTAGCCACTGAAGAACATCCACAACCCTTTTTATTTTTTTAATTTTGAGACAGGTCTCATTAAGTTGCTAAGGCTGGCTTTGAACTTGTAGTCCTGCTGCCTGGGGCTCCCAAGCTATTAGGATTACAGGCCTGTGCCACCGCTCCCAGCCCAAACCCTTTTATTTTTTATTTTTCAACAGGGTCCCGCCAAGTTACCCAGGCTGGCCTTGAACTCGCAGTCTTCCTACCTCAACCACTGCAGTAGCTGTGATTGCAGATGTGTGCCACCACACTTAGCTCTTTCTTAGTTTTTAATTCCTTGCTAAAATTCTCCATCTGGTCATGCATGTTCATCCAATGTATGGTTATCTCTTAGTCGGTTTTTTAGATTGATTTAAATTTTTGTTGTTTTTTGTGTTCTTTTTCTTTCTGAGTGTCTCATAAATTTTTACTGAATGCCAACATAAGTGTGAAAATATGACCTTTCCTTCTGGGCAGCCAGTGTGTAAGCTGGATCAGTCCAGTCAGTACAAGGGCTAGGTTTGAATTTTATATATATATATATTTTTTTTTTTTTTTTAACGTGGTGCTGAGGATTGAACCCAGTGCCTCATGCATGCTTGGCGAACGCTCTACCTCCGAGCCACAACCCCAGCCCCCCCACTAGGTTTGACTTTTGTTGTCATGATTACTTTGTGTGCATCACCAGAGTCAAACTCCTCTAGCATGGGTACTGGAGGGCCTTCATGTTGATAGGGCAGCTATGCTCCAGGCAAGTATGGCAGAGCAGGTTGGTTGGGCCTGGAGTGACACCCCCAGCTCAGGCCACCACCATTGGAAACCCCTCATCCATGGAGGCGGTCCTTGAGGATTTGGTGCATTCTGCTCTGCCACCATGCTTGTAGAAGAAACACTAGTATTTGGTATGTCTCAGTCTCTAAGGTAACCATTTCTTGGATGACTAAAAACATTACCAATCAAACCAAGCACATTCTATTTATTGTCACCTTTGCTCAAATCTTTTTCCAAATACTTCCATCATAAAACACTTCATGGATGTTCCTGCCAGTCACAGAAGATCCTTGGCATTGTGGACATTTCTCTTAGGTTCTTACTTTCCAAATCTCTTTGTTGAGATTTCAAGAGGCCCATTATTCAATATGTCTTCCCAAAGCATGTTTAGAGCCAATTAAAGAGTAAAGCTTCTGTGGGCAGGGGTTGTGGTTCAGCGGTAGGACGCTCACCTAGCACATGCAAGGCCCTGGGTTCGATCCTCAGCACCACATAAAAATAAATAAAATAAAGGTATTGTATCCAACTACAACTAAAAAATAAATATATATTTAAAAAAAAAAAGAGTAAAGCTTCTAGCCAAGCACAGTGTCATATACCTATTATCCCAGTGACTCAGGAGGCTGAAGCAGGAGGTTGGCAAGTTCAAGGGCAGCCTGGGCAACTTAGCCAGACCCTATCTCATAAAATAAAAAGGGCTGGGGATGTAGTTCAGTGGTGAAACACCCTGGGAACATGTCACTTATTGCTAGTCAGATACACTTCCCCATATGGGACTCCAGATGAGAGCTATTGGGGCCTGTGGCTTCAGGTCTCTGGATGTGGGGGACAGCTGTTCCCAAGGAGTGGCTGAGCTGAGAATGCTCATTCTCACCCAGAGTAACCTCTGGAGAGGATTGGAAAAGAAGTGTGTGCCCACATCTCTGGTGCTATCCTTGCCTGTGATCTCAGCATCTGTGGGTCAGCTACAAATTTAGTACCCTATCCCAGATCCTGGTGTGTCTTCCAGCAGATTGAGAATTGCCTTCTCAGGTCTTCCTCCACTGTGGAGCTGCTTATACTAGAACTTCCCTTAGGGCAGTCCCCAACAGAGGATTGGGGGGACAGGGAGAAGCACTGAAGGTGGGCTAAAATCCCAAGCCCTCCAGGAGGCCTCACTGTGTCCTGGAGCCTCAGATGCTGCAGGCCTGGTCATCATTCTGCATTGTAGTGGAGCCTGTGGCCCTTTGGCCCAAGGAAGCCTGAAGGACTCAGCATGCCACTGCCTTGGGGAGCCATCCTCTTGCTCCCCCACTCTCTTGTGGGGCTGGGCCACTCATCACTCCTCAATGCAGGGACCTCTACACAGCCTGGGCTTCTAGCAAGTAGCCACCACCACATGAAGTCATAATGTGAGTGGCCCAAGTTACTGGAACATGGTTGTCTCAGCACCCCCTACCCCCTCACACACAGTGGCCCACAGCACCTGTGGATACCCAGAGCATCTCTACCCCAGCCTCTCCTGCCTCCACCCTGCCATCCCTGCAGGCCTTGTCCACAGCTAAATTGGGCTGCAGATTCCCACCACCTCCCTTTGTGTCTCTAGGCTCACCTGCCTGAGTATTCTTCACACTGTTATCTTCTACACAGAGTTCTCAGCACCAACCCCACACACACAAATCCACTGGCCCCAGGATTGCATTCCCCAGCCTGCTCACAGGCATGCAAGCCTCTCCACCCACCCCAGGCCAGACTTCGCTGCTCACTGGCTAGTCTCTGTGCACACAGGGCTCCTTCAGGCTGGGAGAGTCCTGCAATCAGCTCCATGTGGCCTCCTGAGGCTCCGTTCACCTGAGGGCTCCAGGGAGGGCAGGGCCTAGGGAAGCACTAGGCCACTCCCCACTGTAGTGTTCTTGGGCACTCTGCAGGGGTACCTCCTCACTGGCACTCCACTGTCAGTCATTACAGGGTCTTGTGGAAATTTAATCTTCGAATTTCTCCAGCAGGGAGTGACCTTCAGAAAGCCAGCTTCAGGGTTGTACTGTGCAGTTTTGAGAAGTGTTGACATTGTCATTTTGGATTTGTTGTTTCAGAATGCAAAACCAAGGAAGAGAACCAAAATACAGATTGGCCCTTAAAGCCGTTAATTTCAGATGAGGTAACAGTGCATCTGGGGAAAGCATCTTCAGGGAGCATCGTTCAAAAACATTATAACCCAGAGCAGAGCTTCTGCCTGCATCCAAGCCCTGTCGTCCCTGGCGAGGCTCGGGTCTCAAATAGAAGCAGGCCACTGACTCCACACCCAGAAGCTCCCAGTGGAGAGAGGCCCTACATGTGCATCGAGTGTGGGAAGTGCTTTGGGCGGAGCTCCCATCTTCTTCAACACCAGCGAATACACACAGGTGAGAAGCCATATGTGTGCAGTGTGTGTGGGAAGGCCTTCAGCCAAAGATCAGTCCTCAGTAAACACAGGAGAATCCACACTGGCGAGAAACCCTATGAATGTAACGAGTGTGGAAAAGCCTTCCGAGTGAGCTCGGACCTTGCTCAGCACCACAAGATTCACACAGGAGAGAAACCTCACGAGTGTGCCGAGTGTCGGAAGGCCTTCACCCAGCTCTCGCACCTCATCCAGCACCAGCGGATCCACACAGGGGAGAGGCCCTATGTGTGCCCACTATGTGGGAAGGCCTTCAACCACAGCACTGTGCTGCGGAGCCACCAGAGGGTACACACTGGGGAGAAGCCTCACCGGTGCAGCGAGTGCGTGCGGGAAGACCTTCAGCGTAAAGAGGACGCTGCTGCAGCACCAGCGGGTGCACACTGGGGAGAAGCCCTACACGTGCAGTGAGTGCGGGAAGGCCTTCAGTGACCGCTCAGTCCTCATCCAGCACCACAATGTGCACACAGGAGAGAAGCCCTACGAGTGTGGCGAGTGTGGCAAGGCCTTCAGCCACCGCTCCACCCTCATGAACCATGAGCGGATCCACTCAGAGGAAAAGCCCTATGCTTGCTACGAGTGTGGCAAGGCCTTCGTGCAGCACTCCCACCTGATCCAGCACCAGAGGGTCCATACCGGGGAGAAGCCCTATGTGTGTGGAGAGTGTGGGCATGCCTTTAGTGCACGTCGCTCTCTGATCCAGCATGAGAGGATCCACACGGGAGAGAAGCCCTTCCAGTGCACAGAGTGTAGCAAGGCCTTCAGCCTTAAGGCCACCCTGATCGTGCACCTGCGGACCCACACTGGCGAGAAGCCCTACGAGTGCAGCAGCTGCGGCAAGGCCTTCAGCCAGTACTCGGTGCTCATCCAGCACCAGCGAATCCATACAGGGGAGAAGCCCTATGAGTGTGGGGAGTGCGGACGTGCCTTCAACCAACACGGCCACCTTATCCAGCACCAGAAGGTGCACGGGAAGCTGTGAGCCTGGAGCCTGGTGGCTGCAGGAGGCAGCCTCACTACCCTCCCTCGGGGTTCAGTGCCACAAAATAATTGCAGGGAGAAGCACTGGGCATGTTCTTCCTGTGGAAAAGCTGCAGAACTTATGTTTTGTTTTCCTCAACATCCTGAAGATGTATTGAAGAATGACCGTGCAATCATAATGAAGTTTGGTTGTAAAGATAGCCATAATTCCTTGTTTCTTCAACATTAGATAATTCATTTGAAAGGAATAACAAAAGGAAGTTAAAGTAAAAGGACTTGTCCTAAAATACTCCCTTATGTTCCCAGTGAGGTTCTTTCTCTTCTGAAGATGCATGCCTTTCCTAAACAGTTAGCCATTTAGCTGTGAAACTTAGAACACTGGACTGTTTTCAGTATTCTCTTGAAACACAGAAGTGCTGTGTGGATAAATTGATATACAACATCAAGGATCACATGACATCGCTGAAAATTGTAACTGTGCAAATACCTGTTTGTATGAAAAAAAAAAGAAGTCTAAAGATGTGTTCATTAGAAATTATGTAAATTAAAAAAAAAAAACTTTTATCTGGTGCTTTAACTTATCTAAGACCAGAAGGAATGTCCTGCCACTTGAGTAAAAATGCAACTAAAACATGGCTGTTTTCCTTAATACCTGTAGACTCTGCATGCCAGAGATTCTGGATCTCTGGGGCCAGTTAGGTCCCAAGCAAGAAAATATTGCTGAAAAGATGATTCCTTGTTGCGCGTTGTTTTGTTTTGTTGGTACCAGGATTGAACCCAGGGGCACTGGACCCCTGAGCTGCATCCCCATCCCATTTAATTTTTTATTGTGAATAGTCTTGCTGAGCTGCTTGGGGCCTCAGCCTCCTGTGGTACACCACCACACCCACAATGCATATATTTTTTTTAAATTCTCACTCTTTTTTACTAGCTCTAATAGTCCATTCTTGTACTCCAGTTGTTTGGGGTTTGTTGTTGTTGTTGTTTAACTCCTGGCTTAAGACAGTCATTCATTGCCTGTGATAAATTTGGTTTATTCATAATTAAAAATTTGAATTTGTTCAGAATTATTTTCTCAGTTTTTAAGGGTATGGTTCTTACATCTGAGTTTATATCAGACCCATTTCTAGTAGTATCTACCTGCAAATAAAACAAAGGTACGAGATTTAAGCCGCGTCAAACCTGAATGTGTCAGTGCCTGGTGGAGAAGAGAGAAGCACTGGGGTGTTGGTTCTCATTCCATGTGACAAGAGCTCAGTAAGAATGGCCCGTCCCTGAGGCCTTGGCTTGAGCAGGGAGCTGCGGTACAGCTGAGCCACTGCTTGAGGAGGAGCTGATCACAGAAGGGCTGCAGAGAAGGGCAACACTAAGTGTCTCAGTGAGGAGAGCCAAGGTCTATGCCTTACTGCAGAAAGGAAAGGAGGCCACTGTGGTGTCACTTCAGTGAGGCTGAAAATCCAGAGTTGGGAGCACTGAGATGAATTCTCCAGAGGGCTCAGGTCACTGAAGGGACCCAACAGAGTGGAGGCCACTGGGCACTGCTTCCTAGAAGAGGTGAGATCACTGATGTTTTTCGGAAGAGATGACAGAGAAGCTGGATGAGTTGAGGTAAGTGCAGTCAAACTTTACAAAGCTGCTCTCACAAAGGGACACTTCAGAGAGTCTACTCTGAAAAGGAGCTGAGGCCACTAAGGGTGTAAGACCTTAGTGGAGGGAGGAGGGAGGCTGCCAGCCCTCACTAGGGGAGTCTGCAGCTGGGGTCTCTGTGGCTGCTGGTTGGAGCCCACCACTACTCAAGCCACATTGCTGATCTTACAGAAAAGCAGAGCACAGTCATGTACCAATCAGGATGAGAATAGGAGCTCGATTGAATTCAGTACAAAGATTTGTGTAGAAAGACTATATGAAAAAAAGTAAAAGAAACAAAGACTGTATCCCAGGACAACTGAAGTTACACAATACAGAGTGCTGGATAGCGCAATCCTCCAATAGCCTAGGTTTCCAGGGAGACCTTTTGAAAACGCATAGTTGCCTTTCCTGCATTCTTAGATGAAGCATGCTCAGCATCCATCTCCTATTCTTGTTGGCAGGACACCTTTGATGCACCCAGATGCAGGTTCAGGTGTCCGTGGAGCTGGGAAGTGGGCATCAGTGCCCCTCGTGGAGGGGATTCCAGCTCTGTTCTTGCCATTCACCTCCTCATGGCCACCTGGAACACATGGGCAGCTACCTTTGGGGAACATGAGGTCAGAGGCCACAATGAGCTTGGGCTCCCTTCAAGTAGTGGTGAACCAACCACATCAATGTCAAGGAGGAAGTACAAAGTTATAAGATTGAGTAAAGCTGTCAGACAGGGTTATCCATAGTATGATAGGTGTGTAGGGTTTTGTTTTTGTACCAGGGATTGAACCCAGGGGTGCTTAACCACTGAGCCACATCCCCAGCCCTTTTTATGTTTTCTGTTGAGACAGGGTCTCACTACGCTGCGTAGAGTCTTGCTAAATTGCTGAGGCTGGCTTGAATTTGGGATCCTCCTGCCTTGGCCTCAGGGTTTCCTGGGATTTCAGGCATGACCACTGCAACCACTGCAACCAGCAGTATGAAGATTATTAAGAGATAAAAGACAACATTAGGTTTGTAGTGATATAAGAAAACAGGCTGAAGTATATTGATCAGAAAATGGGTGCCGGGCTGGGGATGTGGCTTGAGCGGTAGCCTGGCATGCGTGCGGCCCGGGTTCGATCCTCAGCACCACATACAAACAAAGATGTTGTGTCCCCTGAAAACTAAAAAATAAAAATTCTCACTCTCTCTCCTCTATGTCTAAAAAAAAAAAAAAAGGTGCCTCTGAAGAAGAGTGGGCCTAGAGCACTGGGTCTAAACACAGTTTAACTCTTTTTTGGTAGAGCTCTACCACTGAGCTATATTCCCAGCCCTTTTTATTTTTTGAGACTATTTAATTCAGTTGCTGAGCTGATCTCATACTTGCAATTCTCCTGCCTCAACCTTCTGAGTTGCTGGGGCTACAATTATGCACCACTGCACCTGGGTTACAATATTTTTTTCTTTTTTTAAAATAATTTTTAAAGAAATATTCATTTTTTAGTTATAGTTGGACACAATACCTTTATTTCACTTATTTATTTTTATATGGTGCTGAGGATCGGACCCAGGGTCTTGAACGTGCAAGGCGAGTGCTCTACTGCTGAGCCACAACCCCAAACCTCTTTCTTTTTAAACATTCTTAGTTGTAGATGGACACAATACCTTTATTTTATTTATTTTTAAGTGGTGCTGAGGTTTGAACCCAGGGCCTCACACGAGCTTGGCAAGTGCTCTACCACTGAGCTACACCACC